GCCCAGCGACCTCTTCCCCTTCGTGCTCGCCTTCCTGCGCGAGAACCGCTTCGAGGGCGCCGCGCGTGCCTTCGCCAGGGAGGCGGCGGCGGTAAGCGGGGGGGCGGCCCGGGGGGCGGCCCGGGGGCTGGGTGCTTGTCTGACTGACTGATTGGCTGACTGACTGACGCGGCCTCTCTCTTGGTTTAGAAGGAGCAGGACCCCAACGCAGCATCCCTCCTGGACATCTTCAGTTACTGGCTGAAGTAAGTGCCCTTCTGGTGGCGGGGGCCGCGCTTACCGGGCCCGGGGGCGAGGGGGAGGGAAGCTCCGCCGCGCTGCCCGGCTCCGTCCGGAACCAGCTGCCGTCCGGCCCTCGCCTCGTAGTCCCCGGCTCAGCCTTTCTCCCTTGTAGGTCTCCAGCGGCCAAGAAGAGAAAGCTCGTTCCCAACGGCCCCCAGGCGAAGAGGAAGTCGCCCTCCAGCAGCGATGACAGCTCCAGCGAGGAAGACGAGACCCCCCCGGCCAAGAAACCAGGTGGGGTTTGTGAGCGGCCCTTGGGCAGGCCAGGGTTGTGTTGGACACGGGCTCCTCACCCGGTTATAGAGCTCAGCTTCGGCAACTCATTTGAGAGCCTTCAGTAGCTCTCAAAGACTGGGTTTGTATCGATTGATCTTGTTTGTGGTAGGTCTTTTGCCCGTGGCATATAAGGTATGCTCATCCTAGCAAAGGGATGATTTCTTCATCCAGGTATAATTTAAGCATATCAGGGTTTTTGTCTGCTAGAAGGTTTTAGTCATTCAGTTTGTCTCTTTTGGCTGAGACTGGTGAAGTCATTGGGCTGTATTGAGTTTTGAAGGTGCTGTTTAAGTAGCACCTTAATTTCCTTGTCTGTATTGTGGTTCTGCCTTCCAAACACCTGTGATAGGACGTCAAAGTTACTCCTACTTGCTTCAGCACATTCGAACTATGTGTTGATTTAAATATTGAGTGAAATTTGGTTTTGAGTGCATGTAGATTGGGCTGGTACTCTCTTCATGGGAGGTAGCTACCTCATGATTTGTTTCCTGTGCTATTTTCCAGAGACTCTCAAGTTTCACTGAGAGTTTTAAAGGATGGTTTCTTATCTTGTTATTGTAGGAAAACTGATTAGGTTTTATAAGTGCTTTCACATTTATTAAAATATGGATAATTTGACAAGACTCCTGCATGGCTATAGAATTTATCAGACTCCACTATTGGTGAGCACCGTGACCTGTTTGATGCAGGGCAGTTGTACAGTGTATCCTCGAGTTCCAGAGAAATGCCAAGCATCCTTGCTCACCTGCTGCTTGTGTGAGGTTGCTACCCTCCTTTATCTCAAGGCTGTGTCCTAGTGCTATCAAAAAATACATCCTTTCCCTGCTCTTTGGTATGTGTTGAGCTATATTGTTCCCGTTTTATCTGGAATTGTTCTTACACCTTGCCTTAATCACAGTGTATATGAGTTTGTCTATATATTGCAGTAGGCTTGTGGGAGAGATGGAGTAGACAGGGGGAGGGAGAGACACGGAAATAAAACTGGTCTTCAACTGAGCCATCCTAAAGCTGAATTTGAACCTAGATATGATTTTTATTTGATAAGGACAGCTACAAATGTAATTTAAGGCAAAATTATTTCTTTTGCTCCACGTTATTAAAAAGCAGTCAGTAACCAGGAAGGGGCAGATTTGGCTAAAACGTGTTAAGCAAAGTGTCAGGAACTTTAACACAATGTTATGGTGGTTCTGTTTGGAAGTCTGATTTTTTTCAGCAAGTTTTTGTAAGCTGGAAGGTGTGCAGACACAGTTAATGTTACCACAGTTGTGGGGACGCTTTTCTTATGGAGTGTCCTTTTTGGTGATAGAAGTCTGCTCTTCAGTGTGTATGCGACAGAGATAATATCTAGAGTGGGTTTTATCCTGTTGCCTACCCATTTTGGAGTCTTCTGCCACACCCTGCTCAAGAAACAGTCAGTGATGAACTTCAGTCATGGTTTAATGACTTTAGAATATGCTTTTGCCTGTATACATACTACTGCAGGATAGAGATTCATGAAAGTTGTGGATTCACATATCATCAGTGTGTGCTGTCCCTTATTTGCAGCTAAAGCAGCAGCTGTGCCCAAGTCAAAAACAGTTCCTCCAGCCAAGAAGGCAGAGAGCAGCAGTGAGGACTCTAGTGATGATTCAGACTCGGAGGAGGAGAAGCCGCCAGCAAAGGTCAGCTTTTCTTTCCAGCATCTTTAATGCATGTTTGACAGTGATGGATAATAGCAAATTTGATGAGCAGAATTCTCTCTGAAGTTGGACTCACCTTTCCTGAGCTATGAAGTACCTAGACTGCTGCAGGTGCAATGTAAGAAGACATTTCTGTAGTGGGTGGTGTGCCATTTGGACTGGTCCCATGAAAAATTAATTTAATGTCCAGCACTCACTTTGTTTCATATTGTAGTCTGTTCCTTCCTTTTATCTTATGATTGCCAGGGCTTACTTTTTTGCAGAGAGAGATTTTTTTACAATTACTCAAAGAAACCTGATATTTTTTTAACATATATGTGTATATATAAAAAGAGAATCTTCTCTTTCCTTCTTTTTGCTGCAGTCACGGTCTTGATAACTAAGGGGGAAGGAAGCTTCCTGTCAGGTACACTAGACGAGACCAGCCAGAGTTGTCCAGTCAGTATTTTCAGTCTTTAAAACAGTGTTATCTGAAGAAGGAAGAGAACAGTGCCATGCAGAACTGGAGTCTGGGGTGCAAAGGAAGTCTCTCATGGGCTGCTGGGAGGTTTCCCAGAGCAAAATCGTTATCCAGGGATTTTCAGGCCCTAACCATTAGGCAGAGTGGTGGTTCCAAGTCAAAATGGTAACCTGTGAAAGATGTCTGTTTATACTCTGTATGTATGTCTCACTTATTAGCCTCTTTTTTCTTTTCATGGCTGAAAGGGCTAATCAGTTTTCTCTCCTGCTGTTTAGAAAGGTGCAAAACCTGTGGTGAAGCCAGCTGGAACCAAAATCCAGCCTCAGAAGAAAGCAGAAAGTTCCAGCTCTGACTCAAGCAGCTCAGATGAAGAAGCACCAAAGAAACAGCCACCAAAACCATCAACACCTAAATCAGGTACCTCTTATTGTGTATCATGAGTCAAAGCGCAAAACCAAAAAAGACAGGGGAGGAGTGACGGGGGCTGTACCTCCACACAAAGGCATATCTGTTAACACAGCAGTCTGAAAATCTGCTGTCACTGCCATTTGCACTCCAATCCAGTCTGCTTCTGACATGGAAGAGGTGAAGAACTGATTGCAAATAAATCATTTGGTTCCCAGATGCTGCACTGTTTGCATAAATAGCTGTAATGAGTAACCTTAAGTTGTGCTTTTGCCAATGTCTTCCCCTCAAAAAGCAGAGATCTTTACTTAGCCTTTAGTCCTGGAACTTCTGATGAGCTAGAATGGACAGTTTTCTGAAAACTTCCTCTAAGCTTCAGTAGGATAAAACAACAGTTTTGCAATATTGCTTTAATCAGCCCTGTTGGCTTCCTGTGGTTCTTCTCTCTATGATACTTTATGCTGAATGTAATTACCCCTCATCTACCATAGCATATTTTCTAAAGTCCCTTTTTACTTATCTCAAAAGGAAGTAAAGTTGCCCAGGCAGCCACCAAGGTAGTCAATGGAAAAGCAGCAAGCAGTAGCAGCAATAGTGAAGATTCTGATGAGGAAAAGACTGCACAAAAGAAGGTAAATTAGACCATGAAAAACTTAACACTGTAGAAGTCTAGTAAAACTGGGTGTATCTCTGTCTTGCAGGCTTCATGAAATGTGTAGACAAAGGCACAGACTATACAGATGCTGGGCACAGTATTTTTGGCTCTCCTACCTCCTTTTCCTTTATACAGTGGGATTATGCGTTTTAGCACGTCTCTGTGCACTGGCTTTCTTCCTTGATACCTCCTTACCACTTCCTCTGCTCCTTTTACAGGAAAACGTCTCATTGTGTCATAACTATATTGTAGTCTCCATTATGTGTTCACTTCTTTGTGACGCTTTTGTGCTTAGCTATCTGTAACTTTGAGTTTTCCACTAGGGAGTGTTTAAAAATGTTTTCTGCAACACAAAAATAATCATAGTTGTGTTTAATCAAGTGGTAGTTGCTACTATTTCAGTCAGTTCTGTGCCCCTTAGTCAGAGGAGCTCCTCGTTAGGGATTCACGTGGCAGAAAATAACAGCAGAGTGGCCAGAAAAGTCATGATGCTCATGTGTTTCCTAAAATCTGCATGAGAGTCTTTGTTAATCTCTCTCCCTTTGTCCTCAAAATTTGCTCTCTTACGTGAGGCAAAGAGTTAAATGAACCACATCCAGTTGTCCCCAAAAGATTCCTGTAACTTCCTTTTTGTATATTTCTTTCCTTCTTATGATAAGGCTGTTCCCAAGAAATCACTTCTGCCAAAACCTGCAGCCACTCAGGCATGTCCAGGGAAAAACAAACGTGCCAAGGAAAGTTCCAGTAGTGAGGACTCATCTGATAGCTCAGACAATGAAAAGCCACCTGCAAAACAAAAGCCGAAGTCTGGTAAGTACTAAATACCATTGCTGCTTTGGCGGGGGGGTATGCTTTTTGTTGGTCCCGCTGTCCCGAGAGAAGTGTGTGCAGGGCACAGGCAAGTCTTGCTGCACACAAGGTTCCAGGTGATGCTGGTGGTGGTAAGCTAAGTTTAGAATTCAGTTTCTCCCTCAGCAAGGGGTGTGTGGAGTGAGAGGTTCTGACAGGTTCTGCTTGGTTTGCTGCATGTCTTTTATTCAGGGAGCCTTTAAGTATGTTCTTTCAGATTTCCTGTCTGCCAGGATTTGGGAAGTAATTTGTCACTGGTTTAGTTATTCTTTAACTGAAGCAATTTAAGCTTTTTAAGTTTTTTGTAAAGTACCTAGGGCTGTTCAGTTGCAGTCCAGCTGTTGGGTTAAATGGGCCTCTGCTCAATATAGTATAGTGCTTTTAGGATTCCAGTAGAGAGCTGATCTGAGTGGAGGATCAAGCATGGAAACTCTGATTCTCTAGCCAGAGGATTTGAGAAGGCAGTAAACAAAACCAGTCAACAATTGACATCTCTATTTTTTCTCAAAAAGTTTGGCAACACAAGCTCCCATTCTTCTGAAAGTGCAGAGAAAACCTATGCAGAGATGATTGAGTCAGCAGAACCTTGAGAGGAGAGTTAAACTCACAGCAGAAACAGGAGGTAGCATAGGGGTGGGTACTTTAAAATGGTAACCTTTCAAATTATAAGCTAATATCTTTAATTGTAGATACAGAAGGGGAATAAATGGAACCAAATAGCAGAAGTGCTTTATTCTAACTACAACAAACATGTCTGGTGCCACTCATATTATCATGCAGGCATCTGAATGCTGTGTCTCCCTTCATAGGTCAGTACAGTGCTGTGCCGCCTCCTCAAGCTACAAAGACAAAGAATGGCCTTGCCAAGGCTCCTACAAAAAAGGCTGAGAGCAGTGACTCTTCAGACAGTAGTGATGAGGCAGAGCAGGTGCCCCCAAAGGGCAGGGCAGGTATGTTGTGAGAAGAGGAGGCTGCAGAGGAAGTACTACATGGTGTGTACAGTATTTTGGTTTTCTTGAAAAAGCCATTTGACTTTGGTCTGTGTTTCTATTTGCTTCTCTGGAAGCTTCTGAATAATTTGAAGGCACCCCAAGCAACGCTGTTTACAGCCTGTGGATCCAAACTGTGCAGGTTGGATCGCTTTGCACGTGTTAGTTTGAAAAGTCATCAGAATCTAGTATAGCAGGAATAAGACAGGTCCTTGCTTGACTTCTGGTGTGCTGACTGAATGGCTGGTGCACTGAGAAGGGTGCTTTTTCACATCTGGAAAGGTTTGGATCTTGGTACAAAGGTTTGGTGTGGATGTGGCCTGTTAATTTTAAACTTGCTTTTGCAGGAAAAGCAGTAGCAGCCAAAACAATCCCTGGCCCGCAAAACAAAGCTGTGACTACCAAGAGGGCTGAATCAAGTTCTGACAGTGACTCAGGTAATTCATGAAATAAAATTCTGATTTTTTTGTGTTAATGTCTTTATTGGTCAGGTTGCTGTATAGTAGTATATCTGCTAAGATCCTTAGTGTATGAGCTCAAAAGCTTCACAGTCTCCATAGCTAACAGGATGTGAAATTGAAGAATGGCAGCCTGCTATGCAGAGAGGAGTCTGACTGTGAGACATCAGTGAGAGCATTGGCAAGTGCAGGAAGGTCTGCATGTTGCTGAATGGAAAGGGTGGGGCATCGTGTGTATTGGGTTTCTCTGAGAAGGTTAATGGTTATACTTTTTCTGAGGATCTGTGTCTAAGATTTTTGGTTTCTGTTATCCCATTGTGTTTGGGAGAAATTTCCAAAATAAAAAATGTTACTGCCATACCAAGCTCAAAATAAACTCAAAAGAGGCCTTCTCCTAATGTGACCCTAGAAATGGGGGCAGTGTGCTTTGTTTGCTTTGTATCTCCTGTTGATCAGGTTTAAGGTCTGCAGTGCTGTATTTCCCATGTAAGTTCCCTCTATACTACATTTCCCCTCCTAGTTCAAGGTGCTTCTGTTGTATATCTCAAGGTCTCTGGTGCCACAGCAGGGACTGCGGGTGGCAGCTGCCTGTCTGTCTGCAGACAGCTGGCACTGGACTCTGTGATCCTTCAAGATCCTGCAGGAGATGTGTGTTTTCTGGTTTTGTTGCCTAGTTTCTCACAAATGGTTTTGTTGCCTAGTTTCTCACAAATGGACAAGGTTTTGATTACTGTTATTAAAGTGTTCAGAAATGTTGGAATAGATCTGGCTTAGCATTCCAGATTGCTGTGACACATGATACAAAGGCATATTTGTATGCAGGAGTCTCCAGTCCATCCTCAGACTGCTGCTAAACACATCTGATACAGAAAATAGAAACCTAGAATGAGATACTGTGCTGCTGCTGTCTCATCTTCCATGCTTTGCCAATTTTATCTCCTAAATTTTTGCCTGTTCTTTGATCTTTACCACATAACTTTTTTTTCTTGATGTTTCTTCTCCCTGAGTTCTTGGTGATACCTGTACTTTCTCCAGTCCCTTATTCTGTACTCTTCTCGAAATACCTGCTTCCTTCTGCATGCATTAGTGAAGAACTTAAACTGTTTGTTTCTACTTCCTCCCACAAAGAAGATATGTGGAAGGATGAATGCTGTCCCCTGACCATTCCAATGTTCATCAAATGCTTATTGCCAGTTATCAACCTTGGGCCACAACCCATTTTGCTTTTCACTTCCCCATGAGTTATATACATGTTATTACTAAAATAACTTGCACCAGAAGCTTATTAACTTAAAGAACATCCTTTTTTTTTTTTTTTTTTTTTTTTTTTTTTTTTTTTTTTTTTTTAGATTCTAGCTCTGAGGGTGACAAGAAGGTTGGGAGTAAGCTCCTAGCTAAACAACCTGTGATAAAGAATGCTTCCAAACCAGCAAAAGTAGCTGTCAAGACTGGACAAGCAAAGAAAGACTCCAATTCCTCCTCAGACAGCTCAGGTATTAGGATGGGAGGCAGGGAGAATTCCACATGCACATTGTGCTTACTCAGACCTCTGTGTTTCTAGGCAGGGTATGAGGGTGCAGTTGAACAGGAATACTCATTGCAGTGTTTCAAGCAGCTGATGAAGTGCACTGCATATGAACACTGAATCTGTATATTAGCTTCATGTTGAAGGAATGGGGCTTAGCCTTCATTTTTCTTTTCTATTATAGATTCTGATAGCTCTGACAAGAAACCTGTGAAACCCCCAACTAAACCTGTGAAACCCCCAACTAAAGCAGCAACCCCTGCAGCAAAGAAGTCACCAGCTGCCACAAAGAAAGCACAAAGTAGCTCTGATTCAGATAGCAGCTCCAGCAGCTCTGAGGATGAGAAAAAGAAAAGCAGTTTGGCTAAATTAGCTGGCAAAGTGGGTAAGCCAGTGTCCAAACCTTCTACCCCAGCTCCCAAAGCAGGCACTTCTGACTCTGAGAGCTCAAGCAGTGAAGAAGAAAAGAAGCCAGCAGTGAAACAAGCCACCAAATCTACAGGGGCAGCAAAAGCAGCTGTGGGGAAGAAGACGGCTGCTTCTAGTAGTAGCAGCAGCTCATCTGATAGTTCCAGTGAAGAGGATGAGAAGCCCAAAAAGGCAGGGAAAGGAGCACAGAACAGTTCTAAGACCACTGTCTCCAAAGAGAAAGCAAAAGCATCCACACCAGCAGCAAACAACCTGAAATCTAAGCCAGCTGGTGGCAGCAGTGAAAGCAGCTCTGAAGAAGAGACTGGAAAAGTCAATGGAGGTATTATCTACAGTCTGGGAAGTGGGTTTGTCAGGCCATGTTACTGAGCTGAGCATGAATAGGAGCCTTTCCTAAACAATATTCAGTCTAATCTCTATGTGCTATTAGATTATGCCATCTGGTGCAGTACTGAGAGGGAATGGTTAGTTTTCAATGTGTTGTGATTCTTTCTTTTTGTCTGTATTTTATATCTGTTGGCAATGAATTTGTGGTAACATGAAGTACATTTCTGTACAGTTGTTGCCATTTGCCATCTATGCATGCATGAGATTGTAGTGACATCAAGGCAGACTGCTGGAGGAGCTTGTGTGTGAGTGGAACACCAGAGGTGATGATGCTCCAGTGCACAGTCTCAATCTTTATTCCACCAGGAGGAGAACAGCTTTGAACACACGAGCCATGTGTGCAAATGCATACTGTGTGACTCCAAGAACTGGCAAATTTCAACTGACAGAACTTTGTCATGTGCACTAAATCATTAATGTAGAGGTACACTATTCCACAAAATTAACTTTATCTGTTAGGATAGGATGACAAAATCCTTGCTGAGCTGGAATGGCTATTAGTGTCTGTTATAGCAGTCTGTTTTCTGGGTACGGTAATGCAGGGCCTGATTCTCACACCTGTGTCAACACTGGGTTTGCATTCTTGGGGGGAGATGCCATTACCTTTCCCAACACTGCAGTTACTCCCTTTGAAGTTTTACTGCTGTAAATCTAACAGGCATGATCAGGAAGAAAAAGAAGAGGGAAGATGTTCAGGAGCCAGAGACACCACACAGTAAGAAAGCGAAGATCAAAGCCAAAACACCACATACAGTTCCCAAGGTGAAACGGGTGAGTGAGGGTGGACTGTGGTGACTGGTGGGAGAGGCATCTCTGCCTCATGAACAAGTAGGCTGGTTTTAGGTTTTGGGGGGAGGCTGGGCCCTCAGAATTATTTGTATTTTTGCTCCATCCTCAAGCACTTGAACCTTGTCTGGAGAACCCTAGGGAGTGCACATATTATTATATTATTAATATAATAATAATTTATTATTATGGTAAAGGTTGATTGAATATGCTTGCACAGGAGCATCCCTGAGCTGCCTGATCTGAAGAAGGGAAAGAATTATGAATTTGAGAAACACTTAAAGATTGAGCTGATGTGAACAGGGCTCCGTATTTGCAGAGCAAGGAGGGAAGGTGGTTGTCACTAAGGGAACAGCATGTGCCTGTATGCACTTATTGTATCTCGCTTTCTTTAACAGCCAGCCTCTCCCTTCCGCCGCGTAAGGGAAGAAGAGATTGAGGTGGATGCCCGTGTTGCTGATAACTCATTTGAAGCAAAGGTAGGGCTAGGTGGTGCACAGAGTGGTAACACTGAGCCTCTGCAAATACATGTCAGCAGACCAGCCTTGGTGTGCTTGTGGGCAGCCTTTTTGGTGGGAACTTCTTCCACTAGGAGGTGCTGTTAGGAAGTACATGAGCATTGGCAGGGGTGTGTGGGAGAGTGGAATCAGCTTCAGTGTTATTGTACTGGTGTTTGCTGGGTAGGATGAAGTGCAAAGCCTCGCCTTTACTCTCTTGGGTGCTGACCTGCATTTTTTTCCTCTTCCCCCTTCATCCTTCACAGAAAGGAGCAGCTGGTGACTGGGGTGAGAAGGCTAACAATATCCTGAAATTCACTAAAGGCAAATCTTTCCGCCATGAGAAGACAAAGAAAAAACGAGGCAGCTACCGTGGGGGCACTATATCGACCCAAGTCAATTCCGTCAAGTTTGAAAGTGACTGAGAATGTTTCCTTTAGAATTCATAAACCATCTGCTCACCAGAATGGCTTTGATGGGCATGTGGATATTATGGATGTCAAGCCTGCCTGGAATGCTACCTCCACAAGCCCATTGTGGGGCCGGCAGCTCCAGCGTGGGGATGTGGGAGAATGGTTGGATGTTTCCCCTTTTTATTTCTAAATCTGATTTAGGCCCCTCATTTGGAGCCATCCTTGAGCTGGTGTTACTGGCACCACTAGGGTAACCTCCAAGACTTAAATATTCTACAGTCTTATTTTAAAAGGCTGGTGGTGATTTTTCACTTCCGTTTCTGGCCCATCTAGTAGAAGAAAGAGAAATCATTTTCCTGTATCTTAACCTCCCACTTTTTCAGCCAGTTTAACTCAGATGGCTGTGAAATGGCAAGTATTGTAACTTGCTTTTGACTAGTTACTGTAAGAGCAACAACTGATTTGAACTGGCTGTAGTCCCCACCTGACATTTCAAATTCACAGTTGCAGTATGACAGGATTCCTCTTTACTGTTTCCTTCTTTCATGGTTTCACCTTTCAATAAATTCCTACCTTCCTCTTCCTTCCACTCCTGTTGAGGCCACTAACCAGAGTACTTAAAGATGCAGAGTCTAAATACACCTTAGTAGTCTAACTGTTGCTTGCAGTTGCAAGTTGGGGGCTGTTAGAAAGACCAAGGTCTCTGGTACTGTTGTGGCACTCTTGATAACACTTTCATTGGGAATGGACTGGAGATGTGCAGAAACTCTTGACTGCATGGAAGTTATGATGTTTGGCTCAGTAGGAATGGATAAGGAGGCAGAGGAGATAAAGCCCTCTTTTGTACCCAGCTCTGCTTTTTCCTGTGGTTTTGTTTCAGAGGCTCTGACTGCAGTGTGGCATTGCTCCTTGTTCTCCCAACATAAAACATGCCAGCTTATGCTAACTGCCAGCAATGTGCCATGCAGCTTGTTAGGAGTCAAGATGAATGTATCATTAATGCCTTAAATTTCTGGGTTGGATCAGTTGCTCTTTGAGCTGTTTTCCATCTGTTAAATCCCTCTCAAGAATAAAAATGCCAGTTTCCCCATAGCACTGAGGCAAATAAAGCCTGGTAGCTAACACTTCAAACCTTACAGCATGGAGAGTTTGAAACAAATTCAGTAACTTGCAGCATAAACTGAGATTTCGTGAGCAACTGAGATAATGTAATGGCCTGATGCTGTTGAGAGGAGGGGTTGCTGTCCTTCCAGTTGTGTGACTGCCTCATTTCTGGTGTAACTTGCACCTGATGGAAAACGGTTTCCCCAACTACTTTTTTTCCCCTGTTAGGTGGTTAATTTTATTTAATTTCTGTTGGTGGAGCAGTCTGCTGAGCACATAGCCAGTATGAATTGAACAGTGTTAATGCATGTTTGGGAAACAGGGTAGTGGGCTGTGAGAACTGCTCACCCCATCTCATGAAACTGCCAGCCACTGAAAGGTTGTACAGGGCCTGATTTTCATACTTCCATTCCCTCCCCAAAGGATGACAATGAGAAGAGCCCTGTTGTTACAAGAAGCTATATTTGTGTGCAAAGCAGTGTCACCTAATTGAGGGTTGGATGAGACTTGATGAGCCACCCCCATACACATGAGCTGCAACTTGTTCCAGTGACTTCCCCTCTGGCTTGCACAATCACTCTGGTGCCTGGATTCTAGGTTACAGTGCAGAGGGGCCCAGGAAACCATGGTTATTGCAAGGAATTAAAGGTTAGAGGCCAGAGGAAGGTGGGAAAAGTATTTTCTGTCTGGTGATTTGAACATTATTTTGCTTGTGATTTCTCTTTTGCCCTCTTCTGTTTATCAGGACCTTACATTTGGAACTCTTAAATTTTTAAAATTTTATGTTTCTGGGGTATTTTAAGTATGAGAATTTTAATGTATTGGAAAATAAAGATTGCTGCCTTTGTCATCTGAGTGGACCTGGTAGTTAAAGGTGTGGAATAGCAGGTGGGAAAAGGGAGGGTATCAGTTACAACCACTTTTTGTCTCCACAGTTACACACTCTTGTGCATGCAACAAGCCTTTAGAAGTGAAAAGTAGCCTGTGCAGCTGGCTGTCAAGTGATTCTGCAAGAAATTTGGATGAAACTCTAGAAGAATATTTGTTTATACTGAGACAAACTGAGGCTGCTTGAGTCCCTTCCCATCAGAATATCTAGTTAGCTCTTCTCAGATATTGCTACCAAGTTAGCTGTATGGCAGCTGGCAATATCACTTAGGTAGCAACAGCCTGTGGGAATAAGTAACCGTAGGCGTAACTGAAAAATTACGTATATACCTAGTTAAAAGAAGTAACTTCTGTTTCCCCTTAGATTTCTTCCTCTCCTGTGATCATGTGTGCAGGGAAAAGAAATTTGATAACAGGTAGGACCTGGTGGAGGTCTTATGTGCTGTAATGCTTATTTTTACCCCTTGTGCTATACATCAGGGGAAAGGTTGGGATGAATCAATTGCCGGGTGCACAGGGCTGTCAGTTGCTCTGTAACCAAGGCTGGCTGGCACAGCCTTCCACCTCGAATGTGATGTTGTAGGAGAACATGCAGCACTATCAGTAGTTTCAGCAGCAGATGCAAAGAATGTCAGCCTTGATGGAGATCAGCACCAGGCTGAGCAAGCACTGAGGGGGAAATGTTTTGTGAGACTTAAAGCTTCTATGTGCTTGACCTTCCTAGGGAAAAACTGGTCCCAGTTAGCTTTGGCAGCCTTAACTACATCTCTGCTCTGTGCTGCTGTCCCAGTGTAAAGGAAACACCTCGTGGAGCACTACAGCCTAGCTTCCCTGTGGATCAGTGGGGCAGTTTCAGCTGTGGTTAATGCTGGAACCGGACTAACAGGACACCCCCCTCTGGCCTGTGCTGTACCTGTATGCGTGCCCTGGAACACAAGCGTCCCAGTGCCCTGACGCGCCGTCCATTCCGGTTTGCTGCCCTGAGCAGGGCGTGTGCAGCCCCCCGCCCCTCTCCTCTCGGGGAGCCCGCGGAGGGGGTCCCGGCCCTGCGATTCCCCTTGGCCGCCCTTTTGAGGCGCTGGCCCGGCCGGAGACACGAGCGGCTGCCGGCGGGCGCTGCCCCGGCGG